AATAGCCCCGTCCGTCAGGGCCCGCGGCGGGCGTGGGCGGGAAACCGCTTTTTAATGAGATGGGGCTGTACGTGCGTGTTGGGAACGGCAGTACCACTCGTGTCGTGTTTTCTGAGGCACAAACCTGACCTTTTTTTGTGCACGAGCAGGTAATCCTGCCTGCCTGTCCCGTGCTTCTCAGTTTTCGCTGTAATCGGCCGCGGTGCCGGTGTGTGAGAGGTATTCAGGGCTCAGAGCCTTGGTGCAGTGCTCCTTCAGAGGTCTGACACGCGTCTAGATATAAAGCAGAAAAAAACAAGGACTAGTGACTGATTTTGAAAAATAATCTTGCATTTTATTTAAGTTTGGACTCCAACCACACTGAAGTATTTAAGTCCAGTCGCTCCTTTGCTGCTGTCCCAGGACTCAGCGTTACAGTTCTGTCCAGTTGCTTGGCTCTTCCATTTTTGTGGCGATACTCTCCTCCTATTTATATACAAAAAGTAAAACTGATTTTTTTCCCACCTTCCAGACCATGCCGTAATCTGTTCTCAGGCACTCTAACTGACCTTGCTTTGTTTGTCCTCTTGGGCTTATTTTGTAAAGATCGATAGATCTGCATTTTAGCTTTCACCTTCTGCGCTGTTGCAGCCTGACTGTGCCTTGGTCTTTTCCAAATGCCATCTTCTCTATGTATTTTTGATACCGTGTGCACTCTTCATGCTCTGTTTTGAATGGTTTCAGTGTAACTGCCTGATGACTGGGGAGAAAAAAAAACCCAAACTTTGGTATGATTTTTAAATCCTCCAGTTGTGAGGTTGCTCTGCTGTACAATCTACATGCTGTTCCATTTAAACTCTATGTAAACAGAAGTGCTGGGTTTTCAAGGCCTGATCACTTACAGCTGTCTTCCAGCATTAAGTCCTGGACGGAACAGTTAACAGGCAACCCTTATGAAAATAGCTTTTAAAAATATGCAAGTGCAGTAATCCACTTGGACTGGATGAGGCTGGGGTGTACTTTTCACTAGATTCCTACACTGCTTCAGCCCACAGCTCCTATGCTGAAGATCAGTGTCAGGACAGTAATGTCCTGTTTCCTCCTTGCAGACAGCGTGGCTTCATGGTGCTAAAGAAAAACAAGTGTTACTAAATTTAAGCCTCAAGTTAAACTTCAGGTTCCTATAGAACCAGCTTCATATCATGGCTGTTGCAGCTGTCTCGCTTCCACTGCGTTTTCAGCTGGTTTAAGTGTCTTTGAGGATGGAAGAGTCTGAGCAGTCATTGTTGTAGCATATGCTGATTCCCTTACTGCTATTTAAGGTAGGCCACTGTTAGTAATTTTGACATAGCATTTTAGCATTCTTTCTTTTGACTGCCTGTTACTGGCTTACTGAACAGCATTTGGTATATGAAACACTGTACAACGGACTCTGGAGCAGTTTAAGGTAGGGACTCTGGAGCAATTTAAGGTGATGAAACAATCTTACAGAACTGATGTTCTTGAGAGGTTTCCTTGAAGAAGTACAGAGGTGGATGAAAATGGCTGGAACAATAAAAAAAAGGCAATAGAAGGTTGTGGGAGTAGACCATAATGTATTACCAAATAGTAACACTGTTTTAATATCCAGTTGTATTTTTGGAGGGCATTTCCAAACTAGTACAGAAGCAGGCAAGAATCCTCAAATCCTCTTCTTTCAAATAAAGATTAAGAATTACTGTTCTATTTTTACAGGTTATCTTATGAATGAAAGAGCTGAACAGATTGTTCATGAATTCTAGAGGGCACCTAGGTTGAAGCAATGGAGAGAATGGTACTAGTATGCATTTTATTTTTAGACTGTAAAAAGACATTGATTTCAAGGGAAAAATTGTTCTTTCTGATTGCAGTAAGTAGCAGCAAATACAGGAGATAAACTCTTAGCCAATTCATAAACTTCTAATGACTTGGTTCGTTTGACACCTTACGGGGGGGCCTGCAAGCTATGATCACACGTATCATTTCTTGACAATATCTGGTACTTGTTCAGGTTTCACAGAATACACATTTTTGTATTTTGTTTTACAAGCACTTTTCTGTGACTTATTTTGTTGGAGAACATGCACCGCAAGCCTCTTGCTTAGAGGGTCTTGAAGTTTCTGCTTGTTTGTTGAATCCGTCTTCTCATTTAGAATTTGTTTCACAGGAGCCGTGGAGATGTCTCGTAAGAGCCCTTTTGCCTCCTGGCTTTGTGCTATGCTCCACTGCTTTGGAAGTTACATACTTGCTGATCTGTTACTTGGAGAATCACCTATTGATTACTTCAGTAATAACTCCAGTGTCATCCTGGCCACAGCAGTCTGGTGAGTCTGAGGCACTTCACCCAATTTATGAAGTGTGAGGTGCCGCTGGCTGTGTACAAAACCATCCGGTGTGAAGAGAGGTATTCTGTTTGTGTGACACACATGTATTATCTTGCTTGGGTTAACTGGGGAAAGAAGAGGTGGGGTGAGGTAGTCTTTGAGTCTTTTGTATTCCTAGATCTAGTTTCCAGTTTCTCTGACCAGTTGTCTAATGCTTTGATTGTATGGGCTGGGTCCCGTCAAATTGCTGGGCATTTCTATTCATAGCTGCTGCGGCTGAACTGTGGCCAAACCACAAAAGCAGCATGCACTGCACCGATACTGCATATAGTAGATGAGTGGCACACGCTGAAGATCTGGGGCATTTTATTCATCATATTAGTGAAATGTGCTCAAATTAACCACAGTTACTCCAAGTTTAATTTCCTCAGTGTCTGTGGGTTGTATGTGCTTTTGGATGACAGAACTTCCATTTCGTTCTCCCTGACATAATTCAGGCTAACACCACAGTACTCTTAATCAATCCTCTCTGTACCTCCCAGATCAGGAAAAACAAATGGGTCCTTAAACTCTTTGTGGTTTTGTTCCAGGTATTTGATATTCTTCTGTCCCATGAACCTCTTCTACAAGTGTGTTAGCTTTCTGCCTGTGAAGCTCATCTTTGTGGCCATGAAGGAGGTGGTCAGAGTTCGCAAAATTGCGGCTGGGGTTCACCATGCTCATCACCGTTACCACCACGGGTGGTTCATTATGATGGCTACTGGATGGGTCAAAGGTGAAACATGAGCTACTCTTAATGCAGCAGGGAGGCACCCAGCCCTGTGGGGAGGGACGGGAGAGTCTGTGAGCGAAGGTCAGGGTGACCACATCGCTCGGTGCTGACCAGCAGCCTGGTTAGTGGATGTGGTCAGCTGGCTTCGATCAGTCAAGTTCCCTAGAACACAGGTATTTAATCAGACTTGAAGAATGGTTGTCAGTTGAGTCATCATGTAGCTTTAATGGAGGCACGAAGAACTAGAGACACTATGAAATATGGGTGTAAAATTCAGGAATTCTTTATTCTTTCTCCTGTGTTCTACTGTCTCTGGCCTCGCCTGTCTTTTCAGGGGGTTTCTATCACTGTCGAAACAGCCCAGTCAGTTTTCCTTTAGCTTTTGTTTGGAGCAAGCATTTGAGCATCAGTAAATGGAACAGAAGCAAATGCTCTGTCCCTGCATCAGGACACACTTCATAGAAAGTTTAGAAAGTGTCTGCAGTGCTCTGCTGTTTTAGGCTAACTTTTACATTTGGGAAGAATGTCATGAACCTTACATTCCCCTTAGGTTATCCTTATCCTTTGGGGATCTAGAAGAGACAGGAGAGCTCTCTTCTGGTGTGGCAGTTCTAGCTGTTCACTTCTTCTGTTTCACAGGTTCTGGTGTTGCCTTGATGTCTAACTTCGAGCAACTGCTGCGTGGGGTCTGGAAGCCAGAAACAAACGAAATTCTTCATATGTCCTTGTAAGTAGGTAGCCTGTAAATTCTCTGTCAGACCAAAAAAGGAATTTAAAGTACCATTCAGGACTGGACGCAAATGATGCAAACCTTCTAGAAAATGTCTTTATTTCTCTTCTAGCCCTACAAAGGCTAGTCTGTATGGCACAGTCCTCTTCACTCTGCAACAAACTCGCTGGCTCCCTATCTCTGAAGCCAACCTCATCTTTTTTTTCACCATGTTCATGATTGTTTGCAAGGTAAGTTTACAGCAGATTTGCTCCTAACAAATCTACAGAACCAGAGAAAGGGTACAGACTTAAGCTGGGGGTGTTCACCTTCCTAAGCCACTATTGAAGGCATTGGCTGTACTTACCAGGAAAGATTGCTAAATTCTGCATTGTCTAGGCAGTATGGTAGAAGATTCTTGTGATTTAGCCTTGAGTCATGTAGCAATAGGGATTTTCATCTGGGGTAAGTGGAATGCTCCTTACGAGTTAGTATTTCAGAGCTGGTGTATATGATCTTTAACTTAAGTATTCACTGTTGCCTGGCAGGTTTTCATGACGGCAACTCACTCTCACGCCTCACCTTTTGCTCCAGTGGAAAGCTTCATCTGCCCAGTTTTCTTTGGCTCTGTTTCCAGTGGACACACTAGTCATCATCATCATCATCATCATCATCAGCATGGGGCCTCCCATGAGGTTTCCCCTCCTCCACCTCCTCCTGCAAAGTCAAAAGAGGAGCTAAATGAAGGCACAAGGAAACGGAAAGCAAAAAAAGCTGAATAAAAAAGCAACCACACAGTAAATAGGCCAAGAGAATTCTTCCAGAGCTGAGTCTCAAAGCCACCTGTGACCTCCTTTATCCCCCAGTCCTCCTCTCTCAGACTCCAGAGGAGAGGTGGAAGCCAGGACACTGCCAGGCGGGTCCCTGAATTTCATTTGTGCTCTCTGTGCTGCTGCTTGCTTCTCAGTCTCTGTCTCTCTATTCTGATATTTTCAGGGATTTGTAGATTTGTGCCAGGATGGTAAGTGGGTGCCAGTTCCCAAGCTGTCAGCAATTATGATGCAGCATTTTCAATTTATGTAAAATCTTTCACTGTGTTTATTTATGAATGGAGGTAATGGTTTGCGTCTCTGCAACTCATAAGTTCCTTTGAGTTTTCATTGACCTTTTTGATGTCTACCAAAACAACAAACTGTTTAGACACAATCAATGTGGAAATTGGATTTCATACTCAAAGAAATTAAATGGTCTCATATGAGCCTGATCTAATTTTTCCTAGCTCCCACATCTGCCATATCTCCAATTAATGTGACATTTTATATGCAGTAAGGACATTGACTCTGTTTCTCTCACCTAAGTTCTCTCTGATTCTTAATGGATAGAACATTGTCACTTTCTTAACTAAGTCTGTTTGCAAGAGCTTTGAAGCTGTGAAATGCTCCGAGTGCTATGTATTGGTACAGGTATTATTCTAAACTGTTGTGTAGCATTGCTGCACGTTGTTAATAATAGTGTATCCCACCTCAAACCTGATCATATTTAACTAGGGAAGAAGCATGGTTCTGGTTTGTTTGTAATCCTGTGGGATACAAGAAGGGTGTGTGAGTGTAAATAAGTATTTATTACTATTTATTTATAATTGCCTGGGCACCTACTTCATGGACCTGAATCTGGCTTTTTTAAAATGTTGCATCTTTATATCGAGAATTGGATACTTCTAAGTATGGTCCTAAGCCCACAGCTACATGCTGGTTTGTGCTTGAAGCAGTGAATTTGGTGTGTTAAAGGACAGCCTGGACCCTCCCACTGGATGCAAGAAGGAACGCTTCCTGTGTTCTTAATTTAAAGATCTAAAGGCTGAAGACATGGATTTCACTCCAGCTGATTAAAACTACTTTAAAGGACTGATAAAAGCACACCAGGTGAAGATACCGATTCTCCTTTGTAGGTCCCTTTCGGCCAAACTACTGGTCTGTGAAAGCAGCTTGTGCCCAGTGAGTAAAGAAGAATACAAAATGCCTTGCATGGCTCAGGGAGGAGTCTGTCAGTTCGTTCATGTTCTGCTTAGTGAATGCTGGCTTTTAGACCAGTTTTAAGCTGGTTTTATAACTGATTTTGTTCTTGTAAGTGTCATCATCCAAGGGCTGGGATCGCTGCGGTGAAAATGGCATGCACGGGGATGTAGCTCTGGGCTTTCAGTCAAGCAGCATGTTGCCATCCCCAGCAATAAGGTTTGCTGGTGTTGCCTTACAACTGGGAATACATATAAATAGGCAGATTTAAGAAAAGCATTTTTATTTTTTGTGTCCCTGTTCAAAACTGAAATTGATGGTTAATTAAAAATAAACAAAAAATCCTGTATACAACCAGATGAAAGCCAGTACAAAAGGTCAAATGATTTGTGGGCTTGGGTTTTGACAGTGCCTTAATTTTGTGAGTTTCCCTCTCCTTCAGGAATTCTACCTGACAACTCAACTGTCTGGTTTTGCCAGATACTGGTCTACTGAAACCTGATGTATCACTAGCATGCACAAGACTGTAAATGTTTTATGAGATGTCTGATTCAAGGGGAATTTTGTTTTATAAAAGCCGTCAACAAATAAAACTTGTGAAGTGACTCTAGTTGTCCACTGGCACTTGAGGAAATATGCGTGTTTCTTTTACACTTGCCAGTCTCAGAAGCCAAACACTCCTTGATCTACTTAAAGTCTCCTTGACCTGATGACAACATGATTCTAACTGAAGAGAGAGATCACACTTCGGTATGTCCTACAAGTATGCCTGAGCATGTTATAAATGGAAATAACATGGTAAAAGGTCCGTTGCTTTGGTTGTATTTGTAGTGTTGTCCTCCACGCAGACTTTCTGAGATTTCAGGGAGGGAAATAAGGAAACTAACTTCCCTTGGTGTTTATACCAGTTGACTTTCTCTTTCCTTTTGTCGCTATATGCTATTTACCTAGGACAGGTAAATATACACACTCGCATACAACCACACACACACACAATTCTAGCATACTTATATGGAGTTTCAATATTTCTATTTAAAACTGAAAAAAATCAAAATGCTTTGAACGAGTGAGAATATTTAGCGTGGTACTGTTAGCTACTGCTCTGCTTTCTAAGTGCCAGAGTCCTTGCTCTTCAAAGTCTTTTGCACTGAGTCGAATCATAGCTTCTAACCAAGAACAGACAGGAGAAATGTTCCAAGAGATGTTAAATCAAAGCTCTGTACACCTTCAAAGTACCTTATCTGGAATGGGATTAATACTGAGAAGACAACCACCATAAAGAAGAATCACAAGTTTCATTTAGTGAAGCCTTTCATAGAGAGATGGAAACTTTCTTGAGTTTCCATGGCTCAGTGCTGGTCGTCTCTGGTACAATTCCAGACAGGTGTCCTTCATCCCAAGACGCAAAGATGGATCTTTCAAAAAGCAGCGTATTTTAACCATTGCCGCAGGGACACAGGGTTCTACAGGGCTCCTTCTACACTTCTGGGAAGCCCCACTTCCCCTGTACATACGCTTCTTCTGTAAGACTCTGCTCCAACCAGAATGAAAATGGTAGCTAGGCATTTCCTAGAGGGATGGGGTAACTTGCTTCCATGGCACAGAGATGGGAGTGATGAGGAAAACATGACGCAGTCAATCTACCTGGCTCACTAAATGAGGACCTGCAAAGGACTATTTATTTTCTGAAGGGTTTCACTTGTCTCCCTCCAGATCTAACTCTTTTAAAATATTTATTAATGCTCCTTCATTTATCAGGGCAGTTGAGAATATAAGTTGCATCAGAGTGTGGGATTTACAGTCTCTGTATGACCCAACCAATGAAAAAGGTCAGTGCAAGCCTTATGCGTATTTTAAAACTCCAGAAAAAAAGCGTTAGAATGTTTTGTGTGATTTAACCATTCTCCTCTCCCGTGACATCCATTTCAGCATTATCAACAAATTTTGGTCAGGACCTGGACAGAACAATAAATGAGCAGGCTGCTGAGAGTAGGTATTTCAAGTGCTTTGAGAAATGCTGTGGTGTCTCAAGAGTCTCATGCTGTGCAGAATGTTCCTAGCTCCAAACTCCGCTGCAACACAAGTTAGGAGAGGAGCACACCAGGGCTTAGACTTCCATGGGACAGACGTCATTCCCTCCAAAGATATTCTGATCTGATAACTCCTGATACTAACTCCAGTGAGAGGTAGCTAAATTTAGCAATACGTTTAATCCTCAAAGAGGCCCTGGTTGTCTGATGGAAAAAGCAAAGTGCTCCAGTTGCTGTTCTCAGCATTTCTTGTTGATTGACGGGTTTCCCTTTTCTGTTACACAGAGTGAGCCAAACCCAGCGTCTACAGCTTTTTCATCATTGCAGACCAGCTTCACAGACAGGGAAAGCTCTACAGCCCTCACTCAGTTTGTAGAAAGAAAACAAAACCCATAGGATAATTTTACAGAAAACATTAATAATTCCTCACAGCAAGTGAACTGAAGTAAAAAAAATGGGAGGCCAAAGGAAAGAATTTCTATACTGAAGAGCTTATGTGAGAAAGGGCAAAGCCAATACAATAGAGCGCCACGCTAGAGCAACCAGTGTTCCTGTTTTCCCCTTCTTTTATTATTAATGACAGTATGTACATTCTTCCACATTTTGTCCAAAGAGTAACCAAATTATATAATCCAGCGAAGTGGAAAGACCCAGAAGGTAAAGATGGATGTTACCTTGGCCATCTCCTGAGCAACAGAGAAGTTGTTCCTTTTAACATGTGCCAGATGATCAGCTGCCAAATGCCTGCCTCTTCTTCCTGCAGCCTATTTCATGGCTGTATGGTGCTTTAAAGGTGTAAAGCACTAGATCAGTGCTGAAAGCACCAGTCCAAATAGCACATAGGACACCTAGAAACTTTAAAAATTAGAGCTTTATGCATTTCACAGTAGCACATCTTTATTTGGGCCTTAGCTATAATTGTCTACTTTACGGTTCTTGGGCTATTCTTTGAAGGACCTAACTGGCTACTGTAAGACACAAGAGACAGGATTATACAGAAGGTAAGGCTGGTATAGCATGGCATTTCCTATGACCTTAGATACCCAGCTTTTTGCTGCAGCAAAGATTTTTCTCTCAAGGTATTTTAGTTCTTTGCCAAAATAATGAGAAAGCAGAATATATATTTATAAAAGATTTTCTAGAAAGCTCACAAAGATAGTTTGGATTTAGTATGAGCTTCTTCCATCTCAACTAGGAAGACAGGAGGCTGACAAGGCAAACTACTGCTAGCAGTGGAGAAAATACGCTGTTGATACCAAAGCTGAGACAGTCACTCTGCACACAGAGGGCTGATGTTTGCCTCTTTAGGATGCTCTTACTGTTGGCCTCAAGGAGATCTGGTTTGTCCTGTGTGCTCATCCACTGTAAGGAAAGGCCAATTAAAGGGGTTTGGATTTCATCAGACACCAACAGTGTGGTTCTTCCTTGGTAAACACCCACAAAATTACCTCCCAGCTAAGAATTTAATCCTGCTCTCATGTGGTCTGTAAAGGCAGCAGTCTGTGAGCAAGCTGTTGGGGGCTGATGGCTCATGGAACAGACAGATGGTGAGAAAACAAGTTCCCTATCATGCCAGAGCCCACGCTGCCATCCTGACTCACAGTTGCTACTCCTGACTCACAGTTGCTACTCGCTTCACCTCTGTGATGACATTTCTGACAAAAAGGAGATGTTGATAGTGCTAAGATCAAGATTCATGAGTATCTTTGCGTCTGGTCTCTCTTTTACACCTGTGCATTTGCATCTTTCACACATTATCCCTAGAAAAAGTACCATTTATAGTATTTTCTATCATGACCCTTATCTGTTTCCTTTATGTTCCAAAAAAGAATTTGGGGAGGGAATTTTTAAGAGAGCTTGCAAATGCAACCTTTTAGGAAGAATCAGTGTGAGACAGTGATTTCATCTTAGCTTTAGGGTATGCGTAGGCTATAGCTGTGGAATGCAGGAAAACAAGTCTGATATGTTTAGAGGCTTGAACATTTCTGTAGCCTGAGGAAATCCAGAATGACCCTGGAAAAGATTTGGTTGGTTGATTTTGTTTGGTTTTGATTTACAAATTACAGAAACTCACCAGAAACTGTAGCACACACTCCGCATTCCTACGGAAAGCAAGCTGCTGCTTTTCCAATTATCCCAGCCCCTGATGCTTCTCAATCGAGCTGGCAGATCTTGACTTTCCAAAAAAAGATCTGCTAGCTGGGGACTTCTGGTCCCACTGCAACCAACTGCTTGAATCAGTGAGTGAGCTAGTTTTCTTTGATTTATTAGTGACAAGAATTGGTGTTATCAGTACTAATGACAGGTATATGCAGCGTGAAATGCACACAGCATGTCACAGATTGCAGTGCCTTGAAGAACAGTCTAAAAATCCATGACTTCAGAGTGCTAATGTTGGCTTAAATTAGATTTAGAATAATGTAGGCTAAACCCTAATGTAGGCTCTCTGCAATGTTTGTCTCTTAAGGTAAGACGCTTCGTCTCCCTGCCTGTTTGATTTATGATAGCTCAGGATATCGGTTAATCTCTTCTTATTTGGCTAGATGACCATGGAGATTAATCAAGTATTGTCTGCAAAAGGAGCCCCTAACTACAGATTACCAATTTTTCTTTAATTATTCCTCTGTATGCCAGAGGGATACAGAGAGGGTCCAGACAAGGATAGACACCAGCCTCTTAAGTCTCTTTGCACGAGAGAAACAGAAAAAATACAGCAGCTGCTCTGGCTGATACCGGTTTTCTCTGTTTCCTGGAAAAGGCAAAAAGCCACAGAAATAATACATTATAGTCTCCTGTGAGAAAATGTGGAAGCAGAAAGTGGTTCTGAGCGTGTGAATCTGCTTGGCTGGTATAGCACCATCTCTGCTTCCACAGGACATAGAGAAATCAGCATTTCTTACAGGAAAAGCTATACTGATCAAATACAGAAACACGTATTGAAACAAACTGAAATAGCAACGTGCTGTGAATATTGGAAAACAGACTAGTATGGAAGAAAAACATTGAAAAGCATGCTCTGTAAACACGAGGGGGAAACACCTATTCTGCTAGGGCCTCTGGTGAGAAGTTTGCAGCAGTTACCTTCTCTCTCTGAGCATTCCAAGGGCATTCGGACAAAGATGTTATTCTTCTACTTGTTCTCTGTTGACAGCTGCAGTTTCCTGCCTTTGAGCCCAACCATTGACACTACGGTGTCACTACGGGTGAGCACTGTGGCGGCACACGCTGATCCCCTCGGTGGGGGGCTCAGCAGGTGGGTCATGGATGTGGTCCTGCACTACACAACTCAAAACTAGCAGCAACAGCCAAACAGCTTATGTCCAAACAGCTGGAGTTCTACTGTTAGCTGTAGTATCCCTCAGGCAGTCTTTTTTCTTCCCTCTTTCTGATTTTTGCCTACTTGCTGGTTTTTTGTAAATTACTAAATTTTTCTTTCTGTCTTTTCCCATGTGCTGCTCTTTTGGGGATAGTACCCAAGTCCAAACATAGCCACAAAGTAGTAAGTATTTATTGTGCACAGTTTAAATGCCTTTTAGTAAATTCACTCTTGGACAGCTTGACAGAAGGCAAATAGTGACAGGGCATAGGCATACTCCCTGGGTATTAAGAAACCTGCTTTAAATGGCTGAGAGTGCCTGAACCATAAACGATATCAGTACTGGCAGGCTTACATGATGCTAAAATTTCTAAAATAGTCAAGGGTAGTGAACAAAGGGACCTCAGGTGTACAGCACCACCTTTCGCACCTTAGAGACCCTGGGGATCCTGCCCAAGTGACAAATACTGGTTGCTACAGAGATATCTGTCTTCTTCAAATACAGAAGGATCGCTCCAGGACGCAGTGGAGTTTCGCTGCATCTCACTGCAGACAATCAAACATTTCTCACTGTTCCTGTCAAAGTGGCTGAAATTTTCCCAGGCTTCTCTTAAAAAAAGGAGCAAGACAGCTTTCTGGAGAGAGGCATCACAGACTGGTGTTCATTGCCATCAGTCATCTCCCCTTTAACAAGTCTCTGCTGAGGAGAGCTCAGGGAGTCCAGAGAGCAGCACAAGCTTTACTCCAGATACACGCCAGCATCTTCTCTGTGGGAATACTACTGCTGTGCAATAATCGCTCAGTGCAGCGCCATGCCTGTCTGCAGACAAGACAGCAAAGTTTGCAGGCCTTCTCAAACCCTGGGCAACACACATTTGATTCCCACCCACCACTGTAAGAGCAAGCAATATTTGTGAAGAACTTCTCTTCTTGGACAATATCCAAATATTTCCCACTTCCTCTGCCTACTGGGACACAGTTGCCAGACTGAGCTCCTGAAGTAGTAACTGGCAGTGGGTAGCAATGACTCAGATTTTCAGGAATTACAAAACTCAGTTTCCCCTTCTTCTGAAAATCATTCACTCTGTCTCCATTTTTAAATGAGAAAAGACAGGCTTAGATAGGCTCTCAGTTCCACAAAAAGTGCCTTCCAAAGAAAGAAAATACCGCAGCATCACCGCCAGTGGGATGTGACGTGATGAATACGCTGTTTGGACAGCGAGGTGTTTCCCGTCTAAGCAGATAGGTCAGCATTTACAGAAACAGTTAGAGCTGCAGTTTCTGGAAGGAATGCACGGGAACTGCAGACAATCTGAAATTAGTGGGCATATAAGGACACAGCTACTGCTAAGATTTTACATACAACACCTGTCCAGCTTGTGGCAGACCTCATATATTTTCAGTAACAGTTTTGGGATGAAGGATTTGACGTGATTGGATTTTCACCAAAAGACAGGGTTATAAGCTAAACCCACTCTCTCACTGTAAGGTTTGGAATTCACGTGGGCTGGAGTGTAAAGCCATACAAGGATTTCCTGTAACTACTGCAACCTTAGTGAGAGCTAATGAATTATTCGAGGGATATTACACCGAGAGTGCTTGCTCCTTGTTGGACAGCAGTGCAGACTTAGTAATTCCTAACTGCAGGGAGCTCTTTCCTCATCTGACACCGGCACAGACTTCATTAGAGATCACTTTTCACTTCGAACAGTCCCAAGGAAAGCTGCAGATACAGCCATTCCCTGTCCTAATTTTAGCATTCCCTCTTGTACTACTTTATCACATGATTATGTAGGGCCACGAATGTTTACATAATTTTGGGGAGAGAATACTCCAGTTCTGAAGAAATTATAATCTCATATGATAAAAATATGAAAGGAGAAAAATGTCCTTTTAATTTTGCAGGTGTGAAAAGTATCCATGAATATAAGACCTGTCTATCAGTGAACAGGAGAGGGTGCGTGCATGTGAGCACTGGGAGTGAGCACTTACGCTTGCGTTTGTGTGCATATATGCGCTTACTTTTCTTCCTATTTGCTTTGTCTTCTTATCTTAAATTTACCTAGTTTGTTGTTTGATTTAATTCACTGAATATGTCATTTAAAAGGTGTCACAAAGATTTTTCTAGAAAGTGGTAATTTCTCTTGTAAAAAGCACAGCAGGGGAAGCAGCCGTAAAAATTTCACTGACTTGAATGTATGAAAGATTCCCTGTGGGTAGCATTGCCTTTTACTGTCATTATTTATCACTGCTGAGACGGCCAAGTGTGGCTGAGTGGTCTTAAAATAGGACGGAGGATTTGCCGCAGTAAGATGTAAGAAATACATTTTTCTGGATCAATGCTGCTGTATTGTATTCTGTAAGTATGCAATCCAAAATTTTCAGATCCAGAATTTTCATATGAGCGAATAAAAACACAGTGTGACAAGCCAATATAGAACCTTGAAAATGCACTCGCATTGGTAACGTAGTAATGTGGGCTCGAGCCTGCAGACATCTGGAAACCACAGTTTTACAAGACTTAACTACAATGCCATCTATATGAACCTCAACACAGATGAGTGTTCCATCTCCTCAGAAGCCTCCTAGGAGTCAAATACTGCTGTACCTATTTCCTAGAACTTTTTGGATAAAGTATACTTGTATGCTTGAGTTGTATGGATTTCAATGCAGAGTTAGGTGGCTAATCATCTTCAAGCACCTAGATATGAGGGTTTACATCACTCTTTTGTTTCTATATTCAATTGGAAAAAAAGTTCCATGTATAAATTTCACTGGATATACTTCAGGGGTAGTTGAACTAGTCCTAATTATACTAATTTGCACAGAATTTCTAGCATAAAAGGGGCTATTGAAACATGGAGGATCTTCTATGATAACAGATAGGCTTGAAAAGTTGCAGCAAATAATCTACAGTCTTGAGGTTCCTTGTCCTGAAAGACTAAGTTGCTTACTTGGTCATCCATGATCCAAATCCCCATGTCTTTCACGGAAGAAATCCCTAACAAGAGATTTTGAATAGCTCAGTGTCTTTTGCAGAGTTCCAGTAATTAAAGTTGCATACGACTAGTGTTCAGACTGATCTAAAAATAAACGTGATAGAATGACTTAATTTTCCCATGTCACTGTTTTTACGATAGTATTGACTAGTCTAAGAATCTTAAAAAAATATTTTTGTGCAGGTAACTGACTTGAGATGGAACATTTCTGAGCTTGTAGGCCCCAATCACAGAAACACACAACTCTCTCTGGAGGAAACTGAAGCCTATCAGCAACTGTCAGGGGCTCCCACCTTCATGTAAGTGCTAGCACTGCAGTGCATACTCAATCCCTATGGCTAAAGGGAGAAATACAGAGCAGGCCACATGCACGCAAAAGGTCTACTGGACAAGTAAGGTGGCTTCCAAAAGTAAGTAGCCTGCCTGAGCAGCTTCACACATCAGCTAGCTGATGGGGCTGAGACATCAATAACTGCTAGTAGTCCCTAAAAGACAAAAGGAGCCCTGACAGGCACACACAAATAGCCCAGCCCTGAACACAGAGTCTCTTCGGAGCAGAAGATAACAGGGGTTGTGTGTATTAACTAGCAGGTATGAGGCAGATGGAGATACACATGAGGCAAGAAGCCCTTCCTCCAAGCTTGCTTCCTGCCCAATACCTCAATAGTGAGAAGGTTTTCTCAGTAACTAAGGAACAACTACAAATTCTCCATGCAAAGAACCAGAAATGAAAATGCCATAGCAACCACCAGGGACAGAGCAGGGTGTCACACTGCAAGCTGCTACCTGTTCTGTGCTTCTGCCCTACGCAAATCCCTCTGATCACTCCTTAGAAGTTAGAACCACTGAAAGCTCCCCACGGCACCAGCCCACCTCAGCTTCCTTGAAGCATTTTGGTGACAACCCCAAAGAGAAACCCACATCCAGAACTTCAAGCCTTGCAGAAGGGGAGAGGAGGCTGAGACACTGGCAGAAGTGCCACAGGTTGCTTTGGTTTTATAAAGGGAGAAAGGAAGTTTTGCTGAACAAAGAGAATAAATACGCAGTCCCAGGGAGCATAATTGAAGTACCAAGTAAATAAATAGCCAATTAATTATTTGCGCAAGTTGTGCCTGATTTCCCTTGAGACACTTCCACCAGATGCCAGAAACGGAGGGGCAGGACCATGAGAGCCCCACTACAGTGTTACTGCACCCACCCTCACCATCGCTGAGCTCCCCGCAGCTCACACCTCCGTGAGCAGCTCCGTATTGTGTGTGCAGATGGCACTAGTAGGCACTCAGGCAGTGTCTTCCTCAGACTGGCTCTCAGTGCGTACCTAGAAATCTCAGTACAGCCAGCCACAAAGGTTTGACTTCTCTCTCTTTCCTTTACACACACCAGAAGGGCACACTGCTCAAGGACTACACTGTGGGTTTGCACTCTGAGCTCATTCTGGCTGTTTCCAGACTGCATGGATACTGGATGCTGACCTTTTTCACGATCTCACTTTTCTCCATCCCAGCCTTCGGTTCTAATCAAAAGTCCCCAGCCTCAGTCCTGTTCCATTAGTTCCTCTCCACTCCGAAGCCAATCTTACAGCACCCTTGCAGGGAAGGAAGAGACTTGCTATCTGCCATGTCCCAAATCCTGAGGAGGGGGGTTGGTGCTGACTAGCAAACAGCAATACATCAGATAGAAATGTTTCTCCTTTTTTCCCCAGTCTCCCTGACCACCTCCAGGAGCATGTCTAGCTCAGAGGACATGGGGAATGCTGACCTGGTAGCATCATGTGAAATACAGAAGGACCAAGGGATGTCACATTATTGTTGATGGATGGCTTTTCCTGTGTTCTGATCTGAAACTGAATGCTCACATCTTTTTTTTTTTTTTTTTCAGCAATTGAAGAGGAGATTGGACAGGGTCTCCTCAATACCAAGGAGAGCAACCTGGGGGGTTTCATGTTCCTCAGAGAGGTTGAGGATTCCAACAGACAAATTGGGCAAGGGACAAACAGTGAGCTGTTAGAAAAAGAGGACAATCCGGACAGTGAAGCAAAACAGCTGCCCAGCAACCTTAAAGCAAAAATTGCAATCTATTATCCCAAACACCTCAAAGTACACACACTGGCATACACCAAAGACTCTGGGAACCCACAGCACAAGGAGAGTAACAAATACCTGAAACAACTTTGTGAACAGTTCACTGCTGTCACTAATCACCAGGTTTTAGAGAATCTTCGATACCGAGGACAGATCAGTGAGGCGCCAGGGTGATTTCTGCAGGAGCTCTGTGCCTGAAGAACTGCAGATTTTTCTGTGGGAGACAGAATTTATTGGATAACATTTTTCACTGTATTAGGCAGAACAATGATAAAACCCACACAACCCTCATCATTTATGGGCCACTAGGGTGTGGAAAAACCGCTGTGATGTGCAAACTATCTGAGCAGGTACAAGCTGTTTTAGGGCAAGACAGTGTAGTCGTGATTCGTTTGCTGGGGACATCCCAGCTCCATTCTGCCATTCACAGCCTGCTGAGGGACATTTGTCTCCAAGTGTGTTTAGCATTTGACTTGCCACCACCTCCAACCCATACCACACAGGCTTGCAGTGATTTAGTCTTGCTCCTCAGTAAACTCCTCCTCACTGTCTCCCACTGTGGCACACGGACACTGGTGGTGGTCCTTGACTCTGTGGAGAGATTACCTCCTCCAGATTCCACTGGTTCCCTACAGATTGCCCTCCAAAGGTCCACATCATCATTTCCATCTCCACTGCAGAGTTTGATACTCTGAAAGCTCTCCAACATGCTGTGCCCGAGGCTGAAGCATACTTTGAAGCAGGACCCTTATCCTGTGAGGAAGGTGAGGAGATGCTACAGATGCTCTTAGCATCAGACAGACGATGGCTAAGCCCAGCTCAACAGGCCTATTTCCCTTCCTTAGAGGTGAGCAAGCCCTGCTCTTCAAGATGGCCCTCCACGAGGCCAGAAAATGGGCATCTTACACTTCACCTTCAGAACCAGTGATTGCTAGCACAGCCCAGGACACCATGAAGCATCTGTGCGAGAGACTGGAAAAGTCACAGGGCACAGTCCTCGTGGCTCGTGTCCTTGGCTATATTGCTTCCTCACCGTGTGTACTGCTGTATCTCTGACGGAACAGCCCATATTTCCTGCTGTTCACAGGGAATCTGTCTAAATACAGCCAAAACCAGCCAAAGCTCTCAGTTCTTCGAGCCTGTGAATGTGTTCATACCTGTATTTAGCAAGCATAACATTCCTCTCGTACCTGGCAGCCTACCTAAACTATTGTCTTGAAGGGAGATGTTCTGGGATTACTTGGAAAAGGAAATGGAGCTCCATGGCTTATCCAGGCTCTAAGCTCTCAGCTGAGGCCGCCATGTGTGCGTGTAAACTATTGAGATTTTTGGTGATGAGCACTTTTGAACTGCCAGAAAAACCACTCACCCTCCCACTATGGATATCAGTGTAAACAGTAAGGAGGAGGATAAATAATTTCCTTTCATATATCACGCTTCACTTGCAGAAATGGGCTGTCAGACATGGAAAGACATTTTATCCCTTGACGATGAAATTCTCTCAAAGATTCACCACTGCCACCTTCCTTCAAGTAAAACTATCCTGTGCCTTTCTCCTCTCCACTGGGCACAGCTACTCAGTGACATGGGAGAGTGCCTGGCAGAACAGAAGGCAGATGACTTCACCCTTCTTTGCTTTGCACACACTCTTAGAGGGCAGAGAATGAGAAGGCTCTAAGTATGGGATGTTCCCATCCTGGGCTTTCAGGCACCCTGCCTAGACTCCTCTCCATTCTTAAACTCTGTCAGTGCTGAGACTGTAGAAAAAAAAACAGTTCTAACTCCCTGTCCCAGTACATCTATTACTTTTTCCCTTCCCAGGCAATTTGTTGAAATGATGCAGAATTGTTATCTATCAAAACAAGACCAAATCAAGAGGCATGTTTCTCCTGGCAGACTTCTTCAAGAGAACTTGGAGCTGGGGAATGAAGAAACCTCTTACGTTGCCACACTTTAGCAAGACCTCAAATGCCAAGAGGAAGGTGAGGAATATCAGCAGGCATTTCCATACCTGTAAGCTTTGGACCAGGGCTCTGTGTCTCCAGACTGCTGGACAGGGTCTGAAATCAGAAGACAATAGAAATAATAGTAAATAACACTATTCAGTATTTTCAACAGTGACAAAGATATAGACATATTTTAAAACCATTATCTCCAACCAAGGAGATCTAGAGTCATTTTACAAACTTTGTCATGCAGTCTTCATATATGTAAAAGGCTACTGCAACAAGGAAGGAAGTAATTTATTATTCACATCGGCAGAAAGGCAGCCTGCCTTTAGATTGTAGCAAGAGAAATTTAGAGTCATGAAAAACATTTCCTACTAACTGGAAAACAATGAAAGTCCTGGAAGTGCTGTCTGGCGTACCATGAGATAGCATCTAGCACTGAAGTTGTGAAAGCAAACAGATTAATTCACAAGCCACCTCTCAAATCCACTGTTGTGATTACTCCTAGGGAGCCCCGCAGCCACTCTGGTTCTCTGATACTCTTGCAAATCTGAGGAAGTTGAGTGAATTGCCATTTCATTTACTTAATGCTGAACAAATTGAGGAGCTAAAACAGGATCTGCTGAGTAAGGACTGGGCAAGAGGGGGTATACAGCGCTCTGCAGAGGCATGCTTCATGCCTGCAGCCACGGCTAAGAATCACAACCATTCCGCAGAGCATCAGTAACTGCTGTGAGAAGGAAGCTTGAAAAAGAGAAATTAGCTAACTTTTACGAACTGTTATCCGAGAATTATCACCACACTCCTTTATTAGCTGAAAGAAATTATCTAGGTCCTCCAAATGCTGAAAAGAAAACATACTAAAAAAATCTAACAAATTTTAAAAATAATACATAAAGCATTTAAAAGGCTAAAGAAGAAACTGTGACAATGAAAGCCCTCCACTTTCTCAGCAAATGAGTCCTAGTTCCACTGCCAGTGGCTCTTAATCCGTCTATCCCCTCCTTCCCCAAAAAAGCATTTTTTTATCTCAGTCTTTTCAGAGTAACTGTGCATTCTCAGGGCTGATGTTCTCTGCTCTAATAGTACTTCTTTCTGCAGGGAATATGAACTGGATCTGCCTCTGGAACAGAGTGCTGTTGACGACTTTGCCATGTGTACTGAATGCATTAGCTGTCCAGAACTATGCCTTGTGCAGGACACACTTCTCCTTCTGAAGCCATCGGTCAGCAGTATACACAGCCCTGACGGTAACAGCTACGTCAGAGTGACAGAGTGTGACACAAATGTTTACCAGAGGAAAGAACTGGAATTTTGCTTTCCAAGTAAGAGGACTTTTCTGAGGAATTAAAAGCAGCAACAAAATTCTCTGCTCTGGGATCCATCGAAAGATTTATAAATGCCTCATTCTGGCAGGGCCTCTGTAAGGGACGCTGAGCTTTCCTCTTTGCCAGCAGACATTTTGTCTCTTGGATTAGAGCAGTTCGCCACAACCAAAGTGCCTGTTCCCCACGTCTTGCAGAAGCACCTGTTAGCTATCTGGATTCCCTTGCAGCTTTAAAGCTAACTAGAGGAAAGGGTACACAGTGCTGCTCCTCTGTCTTCTCCTCAGAATACCCACTCCCCACTCAGGGGAAAAATCCTGCCACACCATTACATTTGCCCTTGTTTTACACTGTAGCCTTCCTTACATCATTCAAGTGCCTGGCCAGATAAGGCCAGCTCAGTTCACTCCATACTGTACATCACATAAAATACAACTACGGTAGCTCTCACAGGCCCACCAGAGTCATGTTCTAAAACGCTTTTTTGACTCTGCCCTCTTAGGAGTGAGTGTAATATACACAGAAGTGTCTGCCACGCTTCTTTTTTTTCGTGCCTTCTTACCCAGAGGTAATTGGGAAGCTGTGCCAGCAGTGTCTAGGCTGGTGCAGTGTCTGCCTCTATCCTGTTCTCACTCCGCTGCGCAGATTTCTCCAGCCACCCTACACACAATGCTCACTGGATTCCTCAAAGGTAGGATTAGCCCTGGGGACAGATACAGCCCACGAATGTATGTAATCATCCATCTGTTATGAACCAGATCCAAGAAACATAATAAATAAACCAAGAAGGAGAGAACATTATTTCTGTAGAAATACAGTTTTGCCTGTGAGCTTAGGGAAAGGCAGGATGAGAGAACATTATTTCTGTAGAAATACAGTTCTGCCTGTGAGCTTAGAGAAAGGCAGGATAAAGGTGCATTTGCCTTTGTGCTCAGTCATGCACCAGTCCCACTCACAATCGCTTCAACAAATGAGGATAAAGTGGGTCATTTTGTCGTCAGGACAACAAAAGCACACACTGACCTAGATATGTCTGAGGGAACCTTATCTTCCTCTTGGCACAGACTATGGGGTTCAGACAGTATAGGGGGTTCCAGTTGGGGAAATACAGCATATTAACGACCTCAAAAATGTCTCTTTTCTGTCTGTGGTATCAAGAACAGCCTCTCCTCTTTGTGTATCACAGCAGGCGTCACAGTGATGGCACTTTGCTCTGATTACCAGCTGCTGGTGGCAGGTTCCCAGGATGGCTCAATGCTTGTCGGGAATATGGAATTTTTGAGATGCTGTGTGCCCTTCCTGGGCACTCCAGTGAGCCTTCTCCACTTTTTATGGTTGGAAAGCTCTTTTCATGTCTGAAAAGAGCTCTGACAGCTTGGCAATCCTTGAGCTGTAGGCACACAGACACCTCCCACCTGCCAGCATTCTCCCAATTGCTGAAAGCACCGAGAATCCCTCATTTTGTGAATCCTCGTGTTATTTCATAGCTGAGGTGAGATGCGTGAAAGCGTTTGGAAAAGGAACCTGTGCTGTTCCAGCTGCCATGGATCACAGTCCGCGCATTTGGAATTTGATGTCTGGCAGAGCAAGGTTTGTTATCCAGGATAAGCATATCAAAGAACAGCCCTCACATCACCATCATGTGGATGAGGGGCACACAGCTGTATATTCTTCTTCAGATACAGGGGTATGGCCAGTCTTTAATGCTGAAAGAACAAGAACTTTCGAAGTTATAGCCACAATCACAAAGGTTGTAGGCAGAACAGCTACCTCAGTCCTTGCCACTCCTATATCTTTTGCTACCTCTTTACTAGGTCAAAGCTTGGCACCTAGAGACAGCAGAACGCATCTTCCAGATTTCTGGAGAGGCGTCAGATGCATGGATGTGTTCTGCAGTCTTCAGCCCAAGGCTGGTGACTATGACTGTGTCTGAAGGAGAAATGCTGAGTCTGGGGAACAGCAACACTGGCGAGCTGAAATCCAAATGTCAGCTATCACGGCTATGGGAAGAAACACCAACGTCCAGTGTTCTGATGCAGAAGTAAGGGAAGATGACAGTGGGATTTAGCGGGGGATCTCGATCCATGGTATACACCTACCTGTTCAACTTCCTTACAACATTTCTTGTATTTTCTTATAATGCCCAGAGGTTTACTAAGCCAGTCAACAGATCTGATAACCAACAGGCCTTCCTTCTCCATTCTGAATAGAGCATCCTCCTCAGACTTCTGTATCCTAATTTCCAAATGGACAAGCATAACACTTTCTATCCTGCTGCACTTTATAGCTTTGCCCAATACCATGCAGCCAAACTAAATTTCACTGCTAATCTATCCTCTTTCCTTCATGAGAGAGGCAGCTCAGCTCTCCTAGCTTCATGTCCTACTCTTGCCTTATTTTTGTGCAGAACTCTTTTGATGGAAACAGTCCGCTAAAGAAGCTTCCTGGAAGGGTTTGCTTTGTGATGGAGTCAGAAGATGAGTCCATTCTTGCTGCAGGTTCAATAGCACCCATTCCTTGGGAAGGTGTCGGTAATGGCTGCTCTCCCACATGCCAAGTATCCTTCAACAGGGGCCAGCATGTGGAACTTCCCATTAGCCTGGCCTTATTTAACTATTGTGCTTAAGGGGGTAACAAAGATTGGGTGAAATTCTCTTTATGAAGAGTCAGAAATATAATATATTAAAGAAATAGAGGAATTAAATCATATGCATAAGGACATGGCATGACTAGTGTGGACTTATTCCTTTATGACTGCCCTCAGGCCCAAGTGTTTCCTTTGGAAGGTCACAGAAGCCAGATCTCCTGTTTGGAAAGCAGCCACGGAGAGCAGCAGGCACTCAGTGGATCTGAAGACTCCCTGCAGTGTCTCTGGGACTTGGAGTTCTGTCAGGAGGAACCGGAGATGTGCTATTATAAGGTACTACCGTGGTAAGACAGTGTCCGTAGTCGATTACTGCCCTGAGCTGTCAGGGAGGATCCAGCTGACAAGATTCCCAGCTCCCAAAGAGAACATCCAAATCCTGAACATAGCTCTTCAAACTGACAGGCAGCAAGCTATTCTCAGTATCTAGGTCTGATTTTAAAGCATCCTTACATCTAGATACGCTATCAAGGTGTTGACACTGCCTAAGTGAATGAGTGCTGTTAACACCACTCCGACTCTAAAGTCATAGGAGTTATTTATCTACAGCTTAGTACTGCTCATTTAGCTGGTGTAAGCTAGAGACACAAATCAGCGAAGAGAATAAGACTTCACAAGTTAACAATAGCAACAGAAGAGGTAAATTGGGCCAGCTCAGAAGAATCCATCAGGGGAAAAACAAAAAAATGATGGAGGAGGTTGGATCAATGCTGTTACTCCTTCACCTGACAATAGACCACGGATGTGTCTGACCTACTCCTTTCCATAGGTGGAATAATGGGCTTTTGTACAGTCATACCAGGCTCTCTTCCCTGCACAGTTATAGAGTGCTTCACAAGCTAGGGGCTTTATTTTGTGATACCTCTCACCCTCCTTCCAGGATCACTCTTGCAAAAATCTTTATGTATTACCTCTTTTCTTAAGCATTTAATAACCACTGAATACTCTAAGGCTTAATCTTCACTTCAACCTGTATTTACCAGCATAACAATCTAATCCTAACCATCCATTTTCAGTCCATATCTCTCCGGAAAGGATTTTCTGTGCTTGCGTCTCAAAAGTTAACAAGTACTTGTAAATGGCCTCGCTGGATCAGTCTTCTCTCCGGAAAGGATTTTCTGTGCTTGCGCCTCAAAAGTTAACAAGTACTTGTAAATGGGGTCGCTGGATCAGTCCATTACAGTCTGGGATGTTGCAAGCAGTGAGCAACCGTGAAAAGCTAGCAACAGCGAGAAAGTCTGGGATGTTGCAAGCAGTGAGCAACTGTGAAAAGCTAGCAACAGCGAGAAAGTCTGTTCTCCTTCCTGTATTAAATAGGCTTGCAGTATCCTTCATGTTGTAAGAAGGGAAACACGCCATACAGCAACAGAGACCAGAATACCAAATCCAGAGGTAGTGTATTAGCATTGTGCCTGGAACTGCAATTGCAAGACTACAGTTGGAGTATTCTAGCACACAGTAGAGAAAAATATTCTGGGTTCAAATATCAGCAGCAAGTTTAAGGGCAAAGCAAGAAAGATTTCTATAAGTTTCTATTATGCAAATCATCTACAATGCTCTAAGGAGAAACAAGCAGCATGGCTTATTTTCTCCTCTCTCCTCCTTGCTCTTCACGTGACCCAGTTTTACTGAGTTCAAATTGTCTGGTGACAAAAGACCATTTGAGGGAAGTGGCGTATTTCAAGTCCAAACCTACTACACAGCAAATGCTTTCTTCTGAGCTTGGTTTCCACAGGTGCCTTGCTGGCTGTACTGTGTGTGTACACAACGGCTAACAGAATTGTACCAACTGCAGATGGATTTGCTGCAATAATAAAAGTTGGTTACATATTTTGTGAGAAGTTTCACTGTCCTAAGATCACCTCTCCTAGGTATAACCCACTCCAGAACATTGTGGCAACATGTACGGTAAAATCCAGAAAGAAAGACAGGGAAAACTGAAGCAACCAACAGTACAACCAAGGAAAATTCTTCTGGGAGCCTGATTCATTCCAGCAAGCTCTCTCAAATCTGTTCAATGGTGTAAAAAGCAAAGATGAACAGGACAAACCAGCATAAACACCCAGGACCGAGCTTGCGGGTTTCTCTTTCTATCCTTTTGCCTTAACGTCTCAGAATTACAACAATAAACATTGCTGAAAACTCCCTCGCTGTGATTATTCAGTCTATTGACATCTTGGCACAATACTACTGCTGTCGCGTACCACAGTAATAACCACCTAAGAAAGGTAAATAAGAAAAAAAAAACCTAAACGCAGGTTCTATCCCACTACACCAAAGCAGGCACCATAGACCGCAGCCCCGCCGG